TCCTAAAGGAAATGAACCCTGAATATTCATTGGAATGACTGAGGCTGAAGATGAAGCTCCAAACCTTTGGACCTGACGCGAAGAGCCAACTCATTGGAAAAGACCTGATGCTGGGGAAGACTGAAAGCAAAAGGAGAAGGAGGTGACAGAGGATGAGATGGTTGGATGGCATCTCAGTGAACATGAATTTGAGCAAACTCTGGGAGACAGTGGAGGACAGGGAAGCCTGCAGCATGACAGTCCATGGGGCTGCAGAGTCAGACACAACTCAGCGACTGAACAAAAACAATTTGCGTAACCCATTAGACTTTTTATACACTTTTAATTTAACATATTCTTGAAAAATATTTGTAACATAAGGTGTGTAGGCTACTCTGAGTTACAGGTGATGGTCCTGAAGCTGGAAGTTCATCTAGTAATTTGTGAAAATAAGACTTGGATCCAGGTGGCACTAGTGGTAAAGAATTTGTCTGTGCTGCAGGAGACCTGGGCTCGATTCCTGGGTTGGGGAGATCCCCTGGAGAAGGAAATGGAAACCCACTCCAGTATTCTAGCCTGACCAATCAGATGGACAGAGGAGCCTGACCGGCTATAGTTCATGGGGTCGCAGAGAGCCAGACACAGCTTAGACAGTCAAAATACATGACAAAATATCTTCAGACTTGAGACCTCAGCAGCACAAATCTGTGCTCCCTGAGAAAAAGACAGCCCATGAGGTGAGCCTGCACTGGCCCAGGCTCTCTGCTGAAACTTGATGAGGTGAGGTGACAGAGACTGGAGGCTGGGAAGGCCGAGGTGGCTGGAATTTGCTGGGCACAGCACCTGAGACTAGGGAGCCACGTAAAGAAAGTTCCAGAAAAGCGCACAGGGTTCCCTCGTGTTGTCTGCTGACTCTGTGTGAACCCCGGGAGGCTGGGTAGAACAACTTCTGAGGAAAGCACTGATACCAGAGCTCACAGTGAGCTGGGAATTGTTCCAGTTCCCTCCAGCCAGGGTGGGAGGTCCCCACGTAGGGCAGGGGTCCCCAGTCCCCGGGGCTACGGACGGATACTGGTGGGTGGCTGTCAGGAGCTGGGCCGCACAGCTGGAGGTGAGCGGTGGGCGAGCGAGGGAAGCGTCATCTGTTTTTACAGCGGCTCCCCATTGCTCGCGTTACCACCTGAGGTCCACCTCCTATCAGATCAGCAGAGGCGTCAGATTCTCACAGGTGCTCAAACTGGACTGCGAACTGTGCAAGGGAAGGATATGGGTTGCAAGTTCCTTGTGAGAATCTAATGCTTGACAATCTGAGGTGGAGCTGAGGTGGTGCTGTTAGCAATGGGGAGTGGTTGCCACTGCCTCACCCCCAGATGGGACCATCTAGTTGCAGGGAAAAAAGCTCAGGGCTCCCACTGATTCTGCATGATGGTGAGTTGTATATATTTCATTATATATCACAAGGTAATAATAATACAAATAAAGTGCACAATAAAGGTCAGCATTGGAGAAGGAAAGGGCACCCCACTCCAGCATTCTTGCTGGAGAATCCCAGGGACAGCGGAGCCTGGCGGGCTGCCGTCTATGGGGTCGCACGGAGTTGGACACGACTAAAGCGACTTAGCAGCAGCAGCAGCAGCAAAGGTAATGCACTTGAATCATTCTGAAACCACCTCCCCCCACACCCAGTCCGAGGAAAAACTGTCTTCCATGAAACTGATCCCTGGTGCTGAAAAGATTGGAGACCACTACCCTAGGGGACCAAGAGTCCTCCTGGAAAGCACCTTAGCCTGTTCTAACTGGGAGGTGAGCTGGTGAAGAGGATTCAGTGACAAAGCTCCCCTCAATCAGCACCCACCTCAGCTCCCAGAACGGAAAGGTGGAGGAGAAGAGAAAAGGAGGGATGGGAGAGGTGTTCCGTGGAGGGTTGAAAGGAGAGCTGTTCCAAGAAGAGAAAGACAAGTGCTTCACACAGTTGACGTCTCATAGAAATGTCAGAACAACTGTCAGCAAACAATGAGGCTGAAGAAACCACAGGTGACTATGGTGGAGAATGCTGTAACTTCTCTTTGTGACTCAAACCCACAACAGCTGTTGGCTTGACCACAACACACGCAGGCACCAGAGGTTCTCGGGTATTTGAGACCAGGGAAACTTGGGGCCTTGTAGACATTAGAGGGGAGAAGTCCCTTTCTCCACACGGCCTGAATATAGAGTGGGAGCCACAGTGCTTTGGGGGTGGGCATCACCCGGCTTTTTAGAGGAGGAAACCACGATGCCTCTGGTGTGTTTCCGGAAAGTCTACTTTTTGACCTCTTTTGGCAAATTATTAGGGCCCACAGCCAGCCTGGGGCCATGAGGTTTTCCCGGAGGTGCAGCTATGAGCACATAACCGGGAATACCCAGTGACCCGGTGATCCCCACACACTGCCCGGGTCCTGGGCCTGGGAGCTCCTGCCTCTCACTGGGTGATGAGGCCCGGTGGGTTCACAGACCTTGGGTGGTCTTCTTATGTGTGAATGGAACTCTGGATGAAAGCACATCCACAAGTAAGAATTCAGTCGTGTTTGACTCTCTGTGACCCCGTGGCTGTAGCCCACCTGGCTCCTCTGTCCATGGGATTCTCCAGGCAAGAATACTGGAGTGGGTTACCATTTCCTACTCCAGGGGATCTTCCTGTCCCACGGATTGAACCTGGATCTCCTACATTGCAGGCAGGTTTGTCACTGTCTGTGCTAACAGCTCTGGAAAAGTGAGTAAATTGACAGGTGGTTTTTCCTTTAGTGAATACAAAAGTAATTCTCTTATAAGCTGGGGCTTGATTATCATTCTTTTGCTTGAGACCCTTTCCTTAGGTTACCTAATAGGGCTTAAGACTTCATATGCCATCAAGTTCTTGGTCTAGACTATGTTTATCGTCCTCTGGAAGCATTACGGCAGCTTCGCATAAGCTGCCCATTCTACCCATTCCTGCTGAAAAATGATCAGACCTATCCAATTTTTGTCCACCCCCTTCCCATGCTCACTGGGTTTTCATGAGAAAGAATGTGAGGGAAACTTGTTAGCAACATGTTTTCAGCTTTATTGAAATTCTTACAAAAGGTCTGATGTATTTTAGGCCTGGCCTAATTTCCTCTAGTCCCTGAAATACAGGATCATGGCTATTTCCACGTCCTTTTAAGTAGGAATGTAAACTAGTAGACTTTGCTTTTAAAGTTCAAACACACATCACTATGGTTTTTCACTGATGTAAAGCAAAACTTATGTTTTCCCAAATGAAAAGACCAAGTAAGAAAGTTACATGCGTCTTCATTGGTGGGATAACTGGATTCTTTGTCAGAACACACTTGGGGATTTATTTCACTCAATGTGACATTCTTCCACATTGAGTATTTTCTTTTTTTTTTTTTAATGCAAACTTTGCGATGTACTGAGCTATGTAGTAAAGAGTGCCATGTTCATATATGCATACATATATTGGCTCTGGGAAAAGATGCATGAGTACATGCATGTTATGTAAACATAGCAGATAATAAGCATATTATAAGCAAAGAACAACCAATAGCATGTATTGGTTTCGTTGTCAGCCAGGAGCTTTGCTGGCCTTATCCCCAGAGGGTCCCAGTCATCGCTTTCCCCAGGCAGGCGATGCTCACCAGGTAGGAAAGGTGATTGTGTATCTAAGGCGTGTCTGAGTCGGTGGGCCTATGCTCACTTGCTTACATGAAGCTCCCCAGGCCCAGAACACAGAAATGCCCAGCATGACCTCCTCCTCGTGTCAAAAGCAGACTCTGATCTCCCCATCATTAGCAAAGGGGTGCAGACTGAGGGCTTCCAGAGGCCTGCGGCCTCTTCTTCCCCTAGATGTAGTAGGGAATTCTCATTTCCTTCCAGTCTTATAGGCTCCATCAGGACATGTGTTCTCTTGACCACAGGATGACACCCAAAGTGCCCTGGAAGGTTCTGTACCATCACCTCCAGACAGCTCTGAGACACAGACAATGTGGCTTTAACCCTCATTGCCAGATTACTGAGGGTTGGCCTTGGTTTAACCCAGATAGCTCCTGTGTCACCCCCCAAACCCATCCTCCTGTGTGGATGGCTGCTTGGAAGCCAGTCACATCCAACCTTGAACTTACACCCTATGGGATTTGGAGTATTTAATCCTTCAGTCACACCTGTGCTGCACCCCAGCTTCTTGAGTCTAAGCAAAGACACATGAGAGTTCAGGTCAAAACAATGGTCTCACTCTCCATCTGGCTGATAGGCTAGGTGAATGGGTCACTTGAGTGGTACCTGGAGGTCAAGTGGTACCCAAGCCAGCATGACTTGTAGGAGTGCTGCAAAGTGATATGTGAATTGAGCGCCCAAGATACTACGTAGCACACATGGCAGTCACTCAATAAATCTTCCTTTCACTTGCCTTCTCGGGATCCAGACTGGTTCCTGCAGGAGGCTGGCATCTCCCTCTCACTCCTAGAGCCGCCCCTCCTCTATGTCACTTTCCTGAACTAACAAACACTGTGCAGATGCAGAGTAAAGAGGGGAAGGTGAATCACTCAGTATCGTCTCTTGCTGGTCAAAACTCTTGGCCTGAGGTTTGGGAATGATCTGCAGAGTAAACGACCTGGGATGCCTCCTGCCCATCTTCACTGCTGCATTGGTCACCAGGATCCATCTGTAACTCACAGACCACAGAGAACATGGACAGGTAGCCCTGATGGCATGGTGTTTAGAAGACTCTGGAAAAAGGCAATCCAGTCAACCAGGGCTCCACACAGGAACTGTGGTGGAAGGGAGAGACAGGCAGTGGATCCCAGAGTTGTGCTTTGGAATAGATGTCCAAGAGGAGGAGGGCGACAGGTCACCGTGGTCCTGGGATGGGAAATTACAGGGGTCTGGGGGTGCTGGGCTGGGCGTGGAGGGCAGAGGCACGGTCAGGGGAGCCCCGAGCATTGCCCCCACCCCAGGGATGCAGGAAGGAGGCTGGGCAGCTGGGCCCGGACCTCGGGCTGTGCCCACTGTTAGTGTCTCTTGCACGTCACGCCAGCATCCTCAGCGTGCCCGCAGTTTGTCACCCCCCACTTGGAGAAGCTGCAGCGGAAGATGCTTTCCTCGGTACCCTTGCAGGCGACATCGTCCATCCAAATTCTCCCTGTGCCTGTGGAGACAAGTGGACACGGTGTCTTAGCAGAGATGCAGGGGCACAGGACAGACGGGCACTGTCTGTCCCGAATCCTGTCTCAGTTCTCCAATCGAGTGGACCCCCTGCCTTCACCACACCACCGAGACCAACACATCTTCTCTAGGCACAGTTTCTTGAAAGCAGAATCAAAATAATTGACAGTGAGGATGGTTTCCCTGGTGGCTCAGTGGTAAAGAACCCACCTGCCAATGCAGGAGATGTAAGAGTCGTGGGTTAAATCCCTGGGTGGGGAAGATTCCCTGGAGCAGGAAATAGCGACCCACCCCAGTAGTCTTGCCTGAAGAATCCCATGGATAGAGGAGTCTGGTGGGCTACAGTCCATGGGGTCACAAAGAGTCAGACACGAATTAGCAACTAAACAATAACCAGGATGGTATTTACTGAGCAGCTCTGATGTGTCAGGCCTCTTACACATATGATCTTCGTCCATTCCCACCACAGTGCTGTGAGATGGGCATGAATAACCCTTTTTCTAGATGAGAAAACTGAGGTTCAGAAAGCAACCAGTGCAAGGTTGCTCAGCTTGTAAGTGGAAGAATCTGAACTCAAGCCCAAGTCTTGCTGCCTCTCAGGCCCACACTTTATACAAGATGCTTAATAGCTTTTGAGATTTTGGCCATGCCACATAACCTGTGGGCTTTAAGTTCCCTGACCGGGGATCAAACCTGTGCCCCCTGCAGTGGAAGCACAGTCTTAGCCACTAGACCACCAGCAAAGTCCCTGCTATTGAGATGTACCTTGCAGCCTTTGCTGCTGAATATTCAGACAAGACATAATCAGAGGGACAATGTCAAATAGATCTAACTTGGACAGATCCAGCGCCCCAGAACCAAATATCTCAGTGTCAACATCACCTCCAGTCTTTTGAAATTTAAAGCTGATGGTCTCACACAATGAGCTCCAAACAGTGGTCCTTGGAATGACAGCAGATCTCAGAAATTAACATTATCACCAGACATATATTATGACAGGCGGAAGCATCTGTAACCATAAGCAACTAGCTCAGTTCCCAAAATACAAGGTCCCTAAGACAATCCAGCTGAGTTTTGCCCACCTGTTCACCCTGCCCTATTCACTCGGCTCTTAGAGGAGGACCAACCTGATGGTCTGAGGGTGCCCATGCAGGGAGCCTTTAGTTGGTTTTCCCAGGATTGTACCAAGTCTTCCAAGAGACATACTCTTGGCACTGAGGACTTCAATGAATGTTAAGGGAATAGGGCAGCTGCGTGAGGCTTCAAGGGAATGGAGAGGGCTTATCTGGGGTCAGAGGGGTCAGTGGAGAGGGGAGAAGTCACCTGGAGCCCCCACTGACTGATGAACTGGCAGGGCCATCAACCATGTTCTGGTGGGTTCTTGGGGCTGATGGTCAAGCCAGGTCTTTAAGTGTGGGAGCTCACTCGGGAGCCCTCTGGAGTGCTGCCTGAGCTTCAGGGCTCCCATCGCCCATGGAGTCAGTAGTGTAGAGCTTCGCTACTCAAAGTGCGATCCTAGATCAGCAGCATCAGAGTTTGTTAAAAACACACAACCTCACGCCCTGCCCAGGACCTACTGAACCAGAATCTACATTTGAACCAAGTGGTCCTGCATTGAAGTTTCAGAAGCACTGGTACAGCAGAAATAGGGCTTTACAACAAGAAGGACAAATCTCAAGTCTCAGCCCATCCAGGAGGACCATTTCAGTTGTAAAAGCGGGAGGGGATTCCCAGGACGTGAGACTTTCAGTGCTGAAACTAAGTACACTGAGAACCTACTGGGTAAACTTACTTGTTATGTTCAAGAGCTGGTACCAGAAATCATGGGGCTGAAGGTCAGAAACTGCGTTCCAACATTACCATGTCAATCTGGGCAAGTTAAACAAGGTAATTGTTGTTGTTTAGTCACTGTGTAGTATCTATCTCTTTGCAGCCTCATGGACTGTAACCCACCAGGCTCCTCTGTTCATGGGATTGCCCAGGCAAGAATACTAGGTTGCCATTTCCTTCTCCAGGGGATCTTCCTGACCAAGGGATTGAACCCCAGTCTCTTGCCTTGACAGGCAGATTCTTCACTGCCGAACCACAAAAGCAGCCCAAATGAAGTAATAGTTCCTGTATTTTAAAGGGCTTTGAAATGCACCAAAACCCTACATGAAAGGCAGCTCAGGGATCCTAGCACCTGATCCTAGCACCCTGCCTCCTTGTCCCATCTCTCAGGAGCCAGACAACCTCTCCTTTTAGAGGAATTGTCGAGTATTGTTGTTGTTTAGTTGTTAAATCATGTCCGACTCTTTGAGAATTAAGATCCTCAAACCTGTCACTCACCCTTGCACGGGAAATCCCTTCACAAAGAACATCCAGGGAACACCTAAACCATTTTGCTGCCTAGTAAGAAGCTCCAATATTTTGGCCACCGATACAGGGAGCCAACTCACTGGAAGAGACTCTGATGCAGGGAAAGATTGGGGGCCGGAGGAGAAGGGGGCGGCTGAGGATGAGGTGGTTAGATAGCATCACTGACTCCATGGACATGAGTTTGAGCAAGCTCTGGAAGATAGTGAAGGACAGGGAAGCGTGGCGTGCTGCAGTCCACGGGGTGACAAAGAGTCGGGCATGACTGAGCGACTGGACAACAACAAATTGATGCAAGGACTTAGTGGCCTGGACATATTTTTGTTATGCTGAGATATTCAGCATGAATATCCCCTAGCAGTAAACTAGGGGAAAGAGCTGGGAGGAGAGATCTCCTGCTGTCTTTTTAAATGTTATTTGTTCATCACAGCCTCTTCCCCGCCGGATACAGTGTGCCTCTTACACAATAAGCCCTTTGAGGCTGAGCAAAAATTCCCAGATTAAATGTCTCCTGGAAAACACATCAGTTTACAAATTACCCAGGAAAAGGTTGCAGACCCAAGAGCTCCGTGGGATTAGTCACACCCAAAACAAATAAAGCAGCAAATGAAGGAGACTGACAGATACAAAACAGGCCCAAGGTTACCAGTCCTAATGCGTACACAGGATCACGAAACTCCAAACTCTAGTTGGGCTTTGGCTAGGGAGTTCTAGCTAGTATTCAGTCATGGAAGAGCCAATAAAATGAGGACAGGGTTGTTAAATCAGCAATACTCACATCTGCAGTTATTGGGATATCACTAAAGGGGCCAATGAACTCGCAGATCATCTCTGCTCCCTGCCGTGTCAGAGAGGCTAGACCTCTCATGAATCCAGACACCAATCACTGTGTCAGCTGACATCCATGAGAGCTGACACTTGACACTAATTGTGTGGCCTGAGCACCAGGTCAGTATCACCTGGGAGCTCATCAGCAATGCAGGGTCATAGACCCCCCAGAACCTGAACCTGGGTTTGATTCCTGTGTCAGGAAGGTCCCCTGGAGGAGGGCACAATAACCCACTTCAGTATTCTTGCCTGGAGAATCCCATGGACAGAAGAGCCTGGTGGGCTACAGTCCATAGGGTTGCAGAGAGTCGGACACAACTGAAGCAACTAACAGACTGTATCCTAACAGGGTCTCCACCAGTCAACATGCCTCCAAGTCTGAGAGCCCTGCTCTAGTTAGGTCTGCTCCTCCATGCTGGTTCTCTCTGTGAGCTCCATAATAAGCCCCATTGGGAAGCAGGAAGAGGGTTCTCTATTCCCCCACTTTAGAATCAGAAAACTGGAGCTACATGGTGAGGTTTTATCTTATGGAGGCAAAACTGGGACCAGAGGCCAGGTCTTCTGACACTTGGGGCCCAAGGGGCTGTTGGAATCTGAGCGGATGGTTGGGATGAGTAGGCAGAGATATTATTTTATTCTCATCATTCATTCCTTCAATAAATATTTAGGCGTCTACTCCATGCTCAGCACTGTTCTGGGTGTTTGGGCTACATTAGTGAACAGAAAATGATTTTTAAAAAACCCACTGCTGGTAAGAATATACATTGGTGGAGAATAGTATGGAGGTTTCTCAAAAAACTAAAAATAGAATTACCAGATGATTCAGCAATCACACTTCCAGGTACATAGCCACCAGAAACAAAAACTAATTCAAGAAAATACATGCACCCCAATGTCCATAGCAGCATTATGATTATGCAGTTGCCAAGACAGGAGAGCAACCAAAGAGTTCCTCAACAGAGGAGTGGATAAAGAAGATGTGGTATATATTATATATACAGTGGGATACTACTCAGCCACAGAAAAGAACACAACTTTGCTATCTGCAGCAACATGAACGAACCTGGAGGGGCATCACTCTAAGCAAAATAAGTCAGAAAAGTCAAATACTTTATGATATCATTTGTAGGAGGAATCTAAGATAACACAACAAACTAATGACTCTACCAAAAAATGCATATGTACAGAAAACAAATTAGTGGGTACCAGTGAAGGGGAAGGGGCAACACATGGATGGGGAATGGGGAGGCACAAACAACTGGATGTAAGACAGGCTACAAAGATGTACTGTACAACATGGGGACTATAGCCAATAATTTGTTATTACTGTAAAGGGAAAGTGACCTTTAAAAAATGGTACAAAAACAAAACAAGAAAAAGCAAAAATCTCTGCTTCATGGAGCTAACGTTGGAGCTACTGCATGTTTACTTAGAGTGATATTAATAGAAGGAATGAGTTACCCTGAGTCCTGAGGGCTGCCATCAGAGCACCACAGGAAGGCAGGACCGCTATCAGACAGATGTTTAAGAGAAAGGAAAACTGAGGCCCCAGAAAGGCTAGCAGACCTGTTCCACAGCTATGACAGGAGGAGGAGATAGTGACCTCTGATGCCCAGCCAGTCTAGTCTCTGATCCTGACAGAAGCACATACACAGGGCACTTCATGGATCACCAAGTTAAGAGGAGGCACACCAAATTCGGCCCACTTCTTGCTTTTGTAAATAAAGCTTTATTGGAACACAGCACTCCCCATCTAATTACACAAGTCTACCTTGTAGACTGCAGCTACTTTCGTCTGTAGTTACTTTTGTGCGACAACTGCAGAGTTGAATAGTTGTGAGACAGACCATCTAGCCCACAAAGCCTAAAATATTTACTTCTGGCTATCCCTTTAACATTTGCTGACCCTTGCACTAAGCCACCTCCCAGTATTTAAATTTGATCTTAAGAAAAAAAAAAAGCAAAAATGCTAATAATAATTAGAATGGACACTCTCAATCCATCCATCCACCTCCACCTACAAATCCATCTGCATTTGTACCCACCCTCACCTTTGTCTGTCTACATGTTTCACAGATTTTCTCAGTGGGTCCAGGACCAGTTCCCTGGGTGCTGCCCTGGTCTCACCCCCTCCATCTCTTTCTGGACCCTGTTCCAGCCATCACCTCCATCTTCTCTAACTGCACTCCCTCCCTCTCCAACGGCTCTTGGACCAATTTAAAATTTAAAAAAAAAAATCATCTTCAAGTCTTTCTCATTTGGGTCTTCCTTGTTTTTTTTCCCAGGGACACCGATCATTTAATTATTGAGGCCTGGCCAGGAAAACTTTTATGGTGCCAAACCACCAAGAGCATGCCAGGCTCAGCAGTTTCTTGTATGGCTCGGGGAGGATGCAGATTCTGCAGGCATACCAGTTTCTTCCTTCTTTCCTTGCACCCTCCTCCCATTCCTCTTTCCTCCCTCCCACTTTCAGTTCAGTTCAGTTGCTCAGTTGTATCTGACTCTTTGCGACCCCATGGACTGCAGCACGTCAGGCCACCCTGTCCATCACCAACTCCCAGAGTTTGCTCAAACTCATGTCCATCGAATCAGTGATGCCATCCAACCATCTCATCCTCTCTTGTCAACCCTTCTCTTCCTGCCTTCAATCTTTCCCAGCATCCGGGTCTTTCTAATGAGTCAGTTCTTCACATCAGGTGGTCAAAGTTTTGGAGCCACTTTATCCAGTACCTATCACGTCCCAATGAGCCAGCTCATTGGAAAAGACTCTGACTGGGAAAGATTGAAGGCAGGAGGAGAAGGGGATGACAGAGGATGAGATGGCTGGATGGCATCACCGGCTCAGTGGACATGTGTTTGAGCAAACTCCAGGAGACAGGGAAGGACAGGGAAGCCTGGCGTGCTGTCCTTGGGGTTGCAGAGTCAGACGCGACTTAGCGGTTGAACAACAGCAAATAAACTAAAGAGGAATGAGCTAGGTGGAGAGGAGGGAAAGGCATTGCAAACCTGAGGAAGAGCCGGTGATAGGACATGGAGATCGAAAATGGCTGTATGAGCTCAGAGCCCACATATGGATGCATGCGGCTGAACGGTGCTCCGCTGAGGAGTGGGGCACTTTAGGACAGACCTTGCTGCACCCAGCTAAGGAAGCCGGACTTGATCCTGAGGGCAGTAAAGACCCGGCGAGCGTTGGGCAGTGACAAGCAGGAGGCCGTTTTAGAAAGAGCCCCGGGAGCCAGGAAGAGGAAGGCCTAGGGGAGCAGGCGGCGAGCAGTGCGCACAGGAAGGAGCTCCTGGAGGATGCCCCGCCTCCTCCCAACAAGCAGCAAATGACTGTGTGCCCCCGGGGCCTGCGCTGTGCTAACTGCTTGCCACACACAATCTCATTTTTCATTTGTCATCCTCCTGCAAAAGTGGAAGGGCTGAAGCCTGGGGAGGTTAGGGAGTTTGCTCCAGGTCACCAACCAGTAAGTGGCAGACGTGGAATGCTAGCTAAGCTCTGTCCTAGAGGCTGAGCTCTGAGCCACTGCTCTACCCAGCCTGAGCTCCTAAGGCAAGAACAGTGAGAACTAAGAGGAGGGGATGGAGTCAAGGGCCCAAGAGGTCGCACTGGTAGAATCTGCAGGACCCAGGGACTCAGCAGAGAAGGAACAGGGGAGTGGGTGAGGGGAAGGGGAGGGACAGGTCTGCAGTCCTGCCTGGAAGGATAGAAAGCACATCCATAAGAGAAACAGAGATGATGGATGGCAGGGCTGGAGCTGGGGGCCTGGGAGACTCCATGAGGCTGAGGGTGAGCCGACTGGGGTCGGGAGTCTGGGCACCTGCCTGAAGGGAATCTGTGTTCAGAGGGGCGTCTGGACCTGAGGCGCAGCCTGCCCTCTGCCAGGAGAGGTGGGCATCCCCCACCCTGTCCCATAGTTGGCAGACGAGCCCTTCCCATGCCGTTTAGAATCTGTGAACACGTCCACCTCCCCCTAAAGTGAACATGCTGAGGTCAGAGACTATGCTGAGCCTAGTGCCTGCCCACAGAAGGAGCCGGAAGCCGCTCTGGGGAGAAGGAAGTGCAGCCGGGACAGGAGGCCCCCACCTCCCCCTGTGGACCTGTGAGTAACACCGGGCCGGCCCGCCTGCCCAGGTCTCAAAGACCACGTGACCGAAGCTACCGGACAGCGATGGGGAGGTCAGGCCACGGTTCACTTTCTGGGCTTCCCTGGTGGCTCAGACAGGGAAGAGTCTGCCTGCAGCACGGGAGACCCAGGTTCGAACCCTGGGTCGGGAAGATCCCCTGGAGAAGGAAATAGCAACCCACTCCAGTACTCTTGCCTGGAAAATCGCATGGACAGAGGAGTCTGGCAGGCTACAGTCCATGGGGTTGCAAAGAGTCAGGCACAACTGAGCCACTTCATATTCATATTTAATGGTGCAAATCTGATGCAAATGTAGAATCGAGTCTGGCTTCCCACTGCCTGATTTAAAGACTCCAGTGGCATTAATATACAATATTTTTATATATGTGGGATCTAGAAAAATTCTATAGATGATCCTATTGAAAGCAGAAATAAAGATACAGATGTAATGAACAAACATATGAATACCAAGGAGGAAAGAGGAGTGGGTGGGAGGAATTGGGAGATTATGATTGACATATATAAGGGCTTCCCATGTGGCACTAGTGGTAAAGAACCTGCCTGCCAATGCAGGAGATGTAAGACACGTGGGTTCAATCCCTGGATCGGGAAGATCCCCTGGAGGAGGGCACGGCAATCTGCTGTAGTGTTCTTGCCTGGAGAATCCAATGAACAGAGGATTGTCCTGGACTGGCGGGCTACAGTCCATAGGTCTCAGAAAGCTGGACAAGACTGAAGTGACTTAGCATGAGTGACGTATATACACTATTGATATTATACATAAAATAGGTAACTAATGAGAACCTATTCTATAGCACAGGGAACTCTACTCAATGCTCTGTCCTGACCTAAATGGGAAGGAAATCCAGAAAAGAGGGGATGTATGTATATGTATATGTATACCTGATTCATGTGTATACCTGATTCATTCTGCTGAATGTTAGAAATTGACACAACATTGTAAAGCCACTACACTCTGGTAAAAATTAATTTAAAAAAGGCTTGAGTAGCAATTGTAGGGGTTTCCCCTCAGGCCATATGATACAAACATCAAGGAAGGATCTCCTGCATTGCAGACAGATTCCTTACAGTCTGAGCAATCAGGGAAACCCGATATGTTCCAGTGTCTCCTAGTTTATATTTTATTGGAACTTGAATTTGTATCCGACTTTTGTGTGAAAACTGTATAAATGTTAATTATGTTGAATTGGTTTCACAGTGCTTTTCAGAGCTATTCTACCCTTCTACTTCTTTGTATATTCGTTCTATTCATTTTTGAGAGTTTAATATTGAAACTCCAATTAAAAGTCTTAATTCATCTACTTTAAAAAATAAAGTAGAACTATATGTAACCTGGTTCTGTATTTTCCAAGTCTGCTGTAAATGTGTTATCAGACTTTCATAATTTAAAAAAAAATTTTTTTTTTAAATCAAGGGAGGATGAAAGAGTTTTAGGTTAACCCTGCTTATGACAATCAAATGACCTAGTGTGGCTTTTCTAAAAGACTGTATCACTTTTCCCCCTAAAATGTTTTGCTTCCATATATTAGGGAGAAGTCCTCATCAGAGCCTAAAATGGAAAAGTAAGGACTGATTCCCCACTTCTGTTTGTCCTGCAGACAAAGATGGCAGCTTTCCTTGCAGAAAACAGGCTGAGACCCACTGCACAGCTTCAGGTGGGAGGGAAGCACTCATCCCCGGTGGGCTGTCCTCTGTGGAGCTGGACCCTTTGAACTCCCTGCTCACTGGGCCTTTCAGTCCAGAGGCCAGGACACTGGGGTCAATCGGCTGCTCCCCACCAGCTGTCACAACAGATTTCACAAGAGCACTTCAGTGAGCGTGATTGTCTTCATGGGCTCAGACTGGGCAGCTTGTAAACAAGAGATGTTTATTTCTCACAGTTCCAGGGGATGCAAGTCTGAGATCAGAGTGCCTGTGTGCTCAGATGCTGGGGTTCTAGGGAGAGCCCCCTTCTGACTGGGAGGCTCCTGTGTGTCCCCACGGAAGCGGGCAGAGCACCCTTAGGTTCTTTTACTAAGGTCCCATTATGAGAGCTCAACTTGTGACCTGGACACCCCCTCACAGGCCCCACCTCCTAACACCATCACACTGCGGGGTCAGGATTTCGACATATGAATATGTTATTGTTCAGTCGCTTAGTCGTGTCTGACTCTTTGCAGCCCCATGGACTGTAGCCCACCAGGGTCCTCTGTCCACAGGATTCTCCAGGCAAGAATACTGGAGTGGGCTGCCATTTCATTCTCCAGGGAATCTCTCGACCCAGGGATGGAACCCGTGTCTCCTGCATTGCTGGCAGATTCTCTGCCACTGAGCCACCAGAGAAGCCCATATGGATTTGGCTGGGGAGGGATGGGGTAGGAGGGACACAAACATTCAGTCCACAACAGGGGAGGCCAGCAGGAGACAAAAAGAGAAAGGAAGTCCAATTCGAGGGAAGGAAGGAATGTTCTAATGTTCAGAACTGTCTGAAGACGGATGGCTGGAGGCTGCGAGCCTCCCGAGGTGGGAAGGACCCAGGTGGAGGCCGGGTGACACTCGGCAGGACAGCCATCGAGGGGACCCTGGATGGGAGGGCAGGCCTAGGACTCCGGGCCCCTCGCCCCTCGTTCTCCACTGGTGGGTGCCCTACCTTGTCCGAACTGAGCGGTGCGGTGCACGTCCTCGGCGCCAGGGAAACCCAGCATGCGGCACACCACGTCCCCGTCCTTCTTGTCCCAGCCATCGTCACACACGGTGCCCCAGCGCCGCTCATGGTACACCTCCACGCGGCCCTGGTGCGGGCCCGAGCCGTTCACCAGCCGCACCATCACCGCCTCCACGCCACCTGCCGGGAGCAACGCAGGGTCTCGGTCACTCCCCTGAGCCTGGACACAGCCGTGCCCGCCCCCCCAGAGCCCTCCCCGGCTCCTCACCCCCACTTGGATAGGGAGGGGGGCTGGGGCTCCAGTGAAGGCCAAGCAGGCAGCCAGCAGAAACCTTGGTGTCACCCCTGCCTGTTATTATCACCCCTGCCCTTCTCTCCACCTTTTTTAATACTTTTGTTTTTCCAGAGTAGTTTTAGGTTCATAGCAAAATTGAAAAGCAGGAACAGTGCTGGCTTTGGCAGTGCATGTGCTAAAATTGGAATGATACAGGGAAGATTAGCAAGGATGACATGTGAATTCATGAAGCATTCCATAATTTTTTTTTACAGCTGCAACAGAAATCTGATACAAATTTCAGCATGGAGTGCATAAATTCCTGCTAATTACTGATCATTCTTTAATCAATTTATTGAAGATCTAGGTCAAATCCACATTTAGTAATTATAGCACTAAATAAAAGTGTGAGAACTGGCTTTTCCCTTCACAGTTGGTGACGCTAGATATCCTATGAAATGAAAAAAGGAAAAACTTAAAAAAAAAAAAAAAGGCATAGACTCCCTCCCCCACTCCCAACAGGGATAGCTTCCTCCCCACCATCAACACCTGCCTTCAGAATGGTGCATTTGTTACTACACTTGATCTTAGCCAAAAGGCCAAGAAGTGATTGCATTTGTTATCATCTATGAACACACAGAGACATGCCGTAACCACTCCGAGTCAAGAGTTTACACCAGGGTTCACTCTTGGTATTGTCCGTTCTATGGTCTGGACAAATGTATAATGATATGTATTCACCAACATAGTATCCTAAAGAATGGTTTCACTACCCAAAAAATCCTCTGTGCTCCATCCCTTCATCTCAACCCCCACCCCTTAGCCCCTGGCAAACACTGATCTTTTTCCTGTCTCCATAGCTTTGCCTTTCCCATAATGCCATATAGTTGGGATCATACAGTATGTAGCCTTTTCAGATTGGCTTCTTTCATGTAGTAATATGCATTTAAGGCTTCTCTTTCCATGGCTGGATAGCTCGTTTCTTTCTAGCACCGAATAATGTTCCATTGTCTGGATGTACTACGGTTTAACTATCCATTCACCCAATGAAGGCATCTTGGAAGGAATTATGAATAAAGCTGCTACAGACATTCGTGTGCAGGTTTCTGTATAGACATAAGTTTTCAATTCATTTGGGTAAACACCAATAAGCAGGATTGCTGGGGTCTTCCTGGTGGCTCAGCTGGTAAAGAATCCGCCTGCCAATGCAAGAGATGAAAGAGATGACGGGTTCGATCCCTGGGTCAGGAAGATGCTCTGGAGAAGGGAATGGCAATCCACTCCAGTATTCTTGCCTGGAAAGTCCCACGGACAGAGGAGCCTGGCGAGCTATAGCTCAAACAGGTCACCAAGAGTCGGACACAGCTGAGACACTGAGCACCTCGTGCATCAGTCATCCCTGACTATTCTTCGCACGTGAGTTTATAAGCTCCAGCCAGGTTATCAGAAGAGGCTGAGGATGAGCACGAGAGCAGAGACTCCTCCAGATGGAAAACAATGAGCGCAGCAGGACTCAGAGACCAGGTCTGAGACGGAGACGCCACCCGGGAGCCTTCGTGACAAGCCAACCTGGAGCCGGCAGCCGCAAACACAGCCTGGCCCGGCTGGGCGTCTGGCCCTGGTGTGTTGGCTGAGGCTAAAAAGTCAGTCTTGATTTCTCCCAGACCTGCCTCGCCTCTGTCAGCACCCCGTCACGGTGGCTGTGGGCCACGCCAGGCCAGGAGGCTGCCAACGGCAGTCTCCGTGTGGGGTCATCAGTAGAGGGTGAGTGGCAGGAGGGGGCTGTGCGTCCCAGAGACGGCGAGGCCGGGTTCAAGGTCCAAATAACAGGAAGAAGTCGGGGGCAGTGCAGGCAGCCCAGCTGACATTCAGAGATGGCCCCGTATCCTCCACTCTGGCCAGCCTCGCTCACTCTATTCACTTCCTCGTCTTGCCAAGTAAGCAACTGACCATCTGTTAGGAGCCTCGTCCTGTTGTAGGAGCGATGGACAGATCCATGAACAAAGTTTCTGCCCTCGTGGACTATGTTGTAGTGGAGGAGACTAGTCAACAGAGCTGGGAAACAAATTCAAATATAACTATGGCCACGTAGGGATGGTGCAGAGACAAGAACAGAAACACAGGAAGGGAACGGAGCATGGGCAGAGGCGCCATCTTGGTCGAGGGGACGCCATCTTGGTCGAGGAGACGCCATCTTGGTTGAGGAGACAAGGAACGGAATGGACTATGGAGGGTGCCATTGTGGATGGGGACACAAGGAAAGGAATGGAGGGTGGGGGGCACCGTCTTAGACGTGGGGAGTCGGGGAAGGGAATGGAAGATAGGGGGAGCACCATCTTGGTCGAGGAGACAAGGAAGGGAATGGACCATGGAGGGTGCCACTGTGGTTGGGGACACAAGGAAAGGAATGGAGGGTGGGGGCACCATCTTAGACGGGGAGACGGGGAAGGGAATGGTGGGTCAGGTGGCACCATCTTGGATGGGAAGACCAGGAAGAGAAGGGAGCATGGGGGCATCATCTTGGACGGGGAGGCAGAGAAGAGAATGGGTAGCGGGTGCCATCACAGACAAGAAGACAACGAAGGGAATGGAGCTTGAGGGGGCGCCCTTTCAGATGGGGAGACAAGGAAGACCTTGAGTGGAGACCTGGAAGAGCTGAGGGAGAACTAGAACCCCTCCATCTTAGGAAAAAACCCGCTCTGTACCCTGGCCTAACATTTTCACGTCCTTTAAATCTCAAGTTTGAATGTCACATCTCCCAAAGAAAGCCTCCTGTGGTCACCCATTCCCATCCAAGACCCCTTCTGTGGACATATCTTATCACTTCATGTAACAGTTGCCGGTTTACTCTTTTAGGACACTGGGGTAATTCTGAGGACAGGTCATACAGCCTGATACAGCGCCTGGTACTTCGACATGCCCAGGCCGGGCCCAGTGAAAGCATGCACAAATGAATGCACTCAGATAGCATATACCCCAGAGGGCAGGTCCTGTCTATGGACACAGCCAGTGACTTTGGTGGGAGTCTGAATGGAGAGTCAGCATCAGGACTACCAATGTTTCCAACACCCTCCTTATTACATCTCAGTCTCTTCTACTCACTCCCCTCACTGACATCTTTCGGTAGGACGACCCGGTGTTCTGGACCCAGAACTCAAGCTGTTGGTTCGGTGACCATACATTCTACATGAGAAAATAAGGATGTGGTCTGACATGTGATTATAGTGAGTGCTGAAGGAAATCTGGAAAGTGTCACTTGGATGCTGAAATGTTAGAATTCCTAGGAGGCTTCAATGTATATGGAAGTGGCAAAAGAATATTTGGAAACAGGACAACTTCAAAACATTGGAAGCATATGGTAACCATAATTATGGGACTCAGAGCATCAAGTTCAAGGCTGTGTCTGCCCATGCTCCCCACATGCCAAGCAAGGTCACAGCCCCCATCAGTCCTGGGGTTATGTGTGTCCCCCAGCCCACGTGCACCCAGACACCAGAGTTGATTGATCAAACACTTAAGCCTGTCCCTTGTCACTTGTTCCCAGGTCCCCCAGATCCAGGACTTCTCCCTGCAATGGAGGCTGAACACAGTCCCTTGCCCACGGGGTCAGCAGACACTGCAGGTCCCAAAAGAATCAAAGAAGCAAATTTTGATCTAGCGCCATCTTATGGAACATAGCACTAAGCTATGTTTTTTTTTTTTTTTGATGTGGGCCATTTTTAAAGTCTTTATTGAATTTGTTACAATATTGCTTCCATTTTCTGTTCTGGTTTTTTGGATGAGGTATGTGGGAGCTTAGCTCCCCAACCAGGAATCAAACCCACAGCCCCTGCATTGGAAGGTGAAATCTTAAGAACAGGACCACCAGGGAGGTCTCTAAGCTATAATTTTTTTTAATCCTTTCTTCCCCCTAACAAGAGCGCATCCCTGTGGCTACCTCCCTGAGGAAAACCATAAGCTGAGATTTGATCTGATTATGATGCTAACTGCCCCAATGAGGAACTCAGACAATCTAAAGGGGCAGTCCCATGAACAACATCCCTGGCCTGCTTTGCCCTAAGAGCTACAGGGGCGGCTGGAGGCAGGCCGTTCCCAGGCTGAGCCACCATGCCACCTTCTGGAACCCACTTGGGGAACCACCCAATGATGCCAACACGGACTTCCTCTGCAGCCTGAGACAAACAACATGACTTGCTAAGAGGTTTGGGTTTCTGTGGGCAGAGGGTGTAAACTCTGCCTTTTCCCAGCAGTTTCTGCCCTAGAGCAATGCTTTTCCACCAGCAAAGCACCACTGCTGGGGAACGCGCTCACCCCACAGCTGTCAGCCCCACAGAAAGAGAAGCGGTGCCCAGGAGGCTGCGTCAGCCTGGTTAGTGCCCAACGCCCCCCACCCCACATGCCCCGTTATACCTCCTGTAAGTCCAGGGAGCTAATTCTTTAGATATCCACCCAGAGTGGCCCCCATGGAGTGTGCCTGGCTATTTGGGGTCAAGGAGATGCCTCTCTTTGCACAGGAGAGTAGAGGGAGGTGGAGGGCAGTGGTTCAGATTGTTCAAAACCCAGGCACTGGGACTTCCCTGGCAGGCCAGGGGTTAAGACTTGGCCTTTCAAGGTGGGGGGTTTGGGTTTGATCCCTGGTCAGGGAGCGAAGACCCTACATGGCTCAGGGCCAAAAAACCAAAACACAAAACAAAAGCAGTATTGTAACAAGTCCACTAAAGACATTAAAAATGGTCCACATAAAAAGAAAATCTTAAAAAAATAAAACCCAGACACTCCTAAGCCAGTAGACAGAGGGGATGGCTCAAGCGGGGGCAAAGGTCCTCACACTTTCACAACTTCATGTTACCTCCCTAACAGCTGCCCTTGACCAACAGGTCTCCACTTCCTTCTTCACTTTCCACCT